GGGATTTTTTAAAAAATATTTTTTCAAGGTGGATTTTTTAAACAATATTTTTTCAAGGTCCCAACAAAGGCGTGGATTTTTTAAACAATATTTTTTCAAGGTGGGTTTTTTAAACAATATTTTTTCAAGGTCCCAACAAAGGCGTGGATTTTTTATAAAAATATTTTTTCAAGGACCAGCTGATACGTGGATTTTTAAATTAATATTTTTTCAAGGACCATCAAAGGCGTGGATTTTTAAAAAAAATATTTTTTCAAGGACCATCAAAGGCGTGGATTAAATAATATTTTTCAAGGACCCAACAAATGCGTGGATTTTTTAAACAATATTTTTTCAAGAACCATCAATGGCTTGGATTTTTTAAAAAATATTTTTCAAGGATTCAACAGAAGTCTTTATTTTCTATAAAATATTTTTCAAGGACCCAACAGAAGCGTGGATTTTTTAAAAAATATTTTTTCAAGAACCATCAAAAGCGAGACTTAATATTTAACATATGATCTCCATAATGAAATCGACAGGAGAGGAACAGAATATTCATAACATTTTCGCCGAACAACATTAAAACTTGAGTTTATTTGTAAATATGCCTGTGTGGGGATAGGCAATAAAACTTCTAACTCAACGCACACACATACATACACACACAACAAAGAGTATAAGAAATGCACAAACACATTATAAAATATGCAGATTTCAAGCGTCATCACTGGCAGTAGGATGGAAAAAACGAAGAAGGAACGAAGCAAGGAGCAAACAGTTACTAAACAAATCTTCATAAACATTTATTAATAAAGTGGTGTTGCCGCTGTTAATGGCAGCGGTGGAGGTGGTGTCGGAGATGATGGCGGTTTTTATTGAAATTCAGACCCATCCAAGAGAATCTAATTCAGCTTCAAACTTCAAAGTTCAAAATTATAAATATTTAATTATGTAATTTTCCACAACCATTAAAAGTAAACGCATAGCTTCCCGTCGAAAGAAAAAACTGGTTCCAAATTTTTTTGTTTTCTTTAAAATTGCCTAATTTATTGGGACAGCGTTGTTTTTCGCCGTTTTGAAAACCCTTCATAAAAATAAACATTTCCACTTCCGTTTTCTTAGGCCCTTTGGCAGATATTTGTAAGGAACCAGTTGGCGGTATTTATTTGATTACAAAGGAGAGGGGAGGGGGCGAAGGGGTCTTTTGTTGGCATAAGACAATATAAATATTTTCTTTGAGGTTTCGGTGTTTTTGTTTTTTTTTTCTTTCGTCTTTTTTTTTTTTTGGAAGGCATTTTGATTTCAATTCATTCAACTTCATTGTGTTTATTTATCTTTCTGCTCTCTATCTCTCTGTGATATTTTGTTTATCTAACTGTTGTTGTATGTCTATTTTTCGGTTACTTTTTTTTCAGCTTCTTCTGCTTCTGCTGCTGCTTCGGCCCTGTGTATGTTTAGCATTTATTTGCATAAAATATTTTCTCACAATATTTTCACATCATAATATTGTTGTATTGTTGTTTGTGTTGCGGTTATGGTGAAACTCATAGGGAAATAAACGCTTTTCCGGATTCCAATGTAAATACAAGAAAAACAAAAACCAAAATGTAAATAAACTTCCTTTTTGGTAGGCCTAAAGTACCGGCTATTTAAAATCCTTTATGGCTTAAGGAAAATAATTAATAAATTTTTAAAAAGATTTTAAAAGGGAGTAAGGAATAACAAGTAAAAAAAGCGGCCGAACTTTGAATGCCCTCCACCTTTTGGGACGAATTTGGCAATTTTCAAAAAAAACAAAAAATCCCTTAAAATTTAAAAAATACCGAATTTAGACGTTATATTAGGGTCTATACGACGACGTGGACCTGCATAAGCAACTTCTGTCATAAAGCATAACAATATTCAAATGCGAAACTTGAATAAAAAAATTCGGTGAATAATGTAGCTAAAATCTTCAAAATTCCGAATATAGGAAGGTACCGTTAAATTGGGGCTATACGAAGACGTGGACCTGCACAGACAATTTTCTGTTTTAGGCTGTTATATCCATTACGAACTTCAAATTCCAAATTTGAAACATTTCCGGTGGATAGTGCCGCTACAATCATCAAAATACCGAATATCGTGAGGTTCCGTTATATGGGGGCCAAATGAAGACGTGGGACTGCAGAAACAATTTTCTGACATAGGCTGTAGTATCCATTACGAACTTCAAATACCAAATTTGAAACAATTCCGGTGAATAATGTCGCTTAAATCATCAAAATACCGAAAATCGGGAGTTGGCGTTATATGGGGGCTTTGCGAAGGCCTGGACCTGCATATATAATTTTCGGTCACAGGCTGTAGCAGCCAACAGAAACTTCAAATACGAAATTTGAAACAATTCCGGTGAATAGTGTCGCTAAAATCATAAAAATACCGAAAATCGGGAGGTACCGTTATATGGGGGATATACGAAGACGTGGACCTGCAGAGACAATTTTCTTTCATAGGCTGTAGTACCCATTACGAACTTCAAATACCAAATTTGAATCAATTCCGGTAAATAATGATGCTAAAATAATTTAAATTCCGAATATAGGGAGGTACCGTTATATGAGGGCTATACGAAAACGTGGAACTGCATAGACAATTTTCTTTCATAGGCTCTAGTATCCATTACGAACTTCAAAAACGAAATTTGAAATAATTCCGGTGAATAATACCGCTAAAATCTTTGAAATACCGAATATAGGGAGGTACACTTATATGGAGGCTATACGAAGACGTGGACCTGCAGAGACAATTTTCTGTCATAGGCTGTAGTATCCATTACGAACTTCAAATACGAAATTTGAAACAATTCCGGTGAATAGTGTCGCTAAAATCATCAAAATACCGAATATCGGTAGGTACCTTCATATGGGGGCTATACGAAGACGTGGACCTGCAGAGACGACTTTCTATCATAGGCTGTAGTATCCATGACGAACATCAAATACCAAATTTGAAACATTTCCGGTGAATAATGTCGCTTAAATCACCAAAATACCGAAAATCGGGAGGTGGCGTTATATGGGGGCTATACGAAGACATGGACCTGCAGAGACGACTTTCTATCATAGGCTGTAGTATTCATTACGAACTTCAAATACCAAATTTGAGGCATTTCCGGTGAATAATGTCGCTTAAATCATCAAAATACCGAATATCGGGAGGTGGCGTTATATGGGGGCCATACGAAGACGTGGACCTGCAGAGACGACTTTCTATCATAGGCTGTAGTATCCATTACGAACTTCAAATACCAAATTTGTAACAATTCCTGTGAATAATTTCGCTTAAATCATCCAAATACCGAATATCGGGGGGTACCGTTATATGGGGGCTATACGAAGCCGTGATCCTGCACAGGTAATTTTCTGTCACAGACTATAATACCCATTAAGAACTTCAAATACCAAATTAGGAACATTTCTGGTGAATAATGTCGCTAAGATCAGTAAAATACCGAATATAGGGAGGTACACTTATATGGAGGCTATACGAAGACGTGGACCTGCAGAGACAATTTTCTGTCACAGGCTATAGTATATATTACGAACTATAAATAAAAAATTTGAAACAATTCCGGTGAATAGGGTCGCTAAAATCATCAAAATACCGAATATCGGAAGGTACCGTTATATGGGGGCTAGACGAAGACGTGGACCTACATGCCCAATTTTCAATACCAAGAGTCCTGCAGACATAATATATAATTGAGCAAAATTTTATCTGCATTTCTACTTCATTTTGTTCGGAAGCTTGAGTGATTTCCACAGACGGACAGACGGGCGGACATCGATTTCGATAAAATTTGGCAGGGGTATTTTCGAGCTGTATCTGATGTTCGGTATCAAATATCAAATATGTGGAATCCATATTAGGCATGTGAGGGACCTTAATACCACATCGGATGAAACATATTTATAGGAGCTATAGCTATATCTCAACCGATTTTCACTAAAATTTGAAGCACTTTCTTTTAGACTAAACAGCTTTTACAGGTCTTCTAGGGCCGATAGACCTTGTAAATCTCTTATTTGGCCAATAGACCTTTTAAATCTCCAAACCTCTAAACCTCTAAAACCTTTTTCAGCTCTCCTATAGACAAAAGACATTTTTTGGCTAGGAGAACCTTTACAGGGATCTTTCAAATCCCATCTACAACCAGACCAGTCCTTTTAAAAATCTTCTATGACTAGAAGACCTTGTTCAGCTCTCCTATAGACAATAGACATTTTCTAGGGCTGGATCACTTTTTACAGATCTCCTAAGTCTAGAAGGCCCTTTTCGTCTCTTCTTTGCCTAGGAGACCTTTTACAAGTCTCCTTCGACAAGTAGACCTTTCACATTTCATTTTGGGCCAGAAGCCCTTTTACATCTCTTCCAGGGCCAATAGACCTTTTACCGCTCTCTATTGGCTAGAAGACCTTTTTCAGCTCTCCTGTGGCCAACATATATTTTCTATGCCTAGAGCACATTTTACAGGTCTACTAAATCTAGAAGCCCTTTATCGGCTCTTCTTTGCCTAGGAGACCTTTCACATTTCATTTTGGGCCAGAAGTTCTTTAACAACTCTTCTATGGCTAGAAGACCTTTTTCAGCTCTTCTGTGGCCAATAGACATTTGCTATGGCTGGACATGTTTTACAGGTCTCCAAGGGCTAAAATACCTTTTACTGGTCTTCTACAACCAGTCTAGGGCCAAAAGTCTTTTTACAACTGTTCTATGGCTAGAAGACCCTTTTCAACTCTCCCATAGCCAAAAGAAATTTTCTATGGATGGAGCACGAGACCTGTACGCTAAGGCTAGGAGACCTTTTACAGTTTCTCTATTCCCAAGAGACCTTTTCCAGGTTTTTAGTATACAGTAGACCCCACCCATGTCCTCTATGGGGAGAACACCTTCCCAGAAAATAAAAGAAATATTATTTTTCCTAAATTTTGTCCAGAATTTATTTCATGTCCAATTCATCATTGCCTTTGTCATCATCAACTGGCTTGAAAGGCCACAAAGTATTTTTTAACTTGCGGAACGTTAGCCGATCTGGGGGTACCTTCTATTTGATCGTTGATATCAGCGGTGCCTTCAATAATATAATCTCCCTCATCGTCCTCGTCGTCCTCCTCCAAATTGTTATCAACTTCGGTATTACCATTACTTTGTTGTGGCCCATAATTGTCGTTGTAATTGATGTTAATGTTGGTGTTGGAGTTATTGGGATCCTCCTCCCCCTCCTCATCCTCTTCGCCATCATATTCATATTGTTGGTTCTGAGAAATGTCTTGCAATTGTTCGACCAAATCATTTTGTACCAAAAATAGTACCTCCTTGTTTGACTCGGTGTCATAGTCGGTCAGGGGTTGGAGTACGGGTATGGGGCGCGAGCTGGAATCCGATCTACCGGGCGCTCCAGGCATTCCAGGTAGGCCACCAGCACCAGGACTGCTATTGCCAGGACTTGCAGGTCTGCCGTTTATGGTGTTGACACGTACCACTTTGGTGCTATTGGTTCTGGGTGGTTTGATGCGTTTCGTCCCTCTCGTGCCGTCGTAGTAGTAATGATCGCCATGATAGGTGTGGAGGTGACTTGCAGCCTGTAGACGGGTGTTGTCATTATTTTGATTGCCACCGCCAGTGTTGGCACCGCCTCCACCGCCGCCGCCACCACCTCCTCCTCCACCTCCACCGCCGGGACGCCAACCGCCACCACCTCCGCCACCGCCTCCACCTCCTCCTCCACCACCACCACCGGGACGCCAACCGCCACCACCACCACCGCCGCCTCCACCACCTCCTCCTCCACCACCTCCGCCTCCACCGCCACCTCCTCCGCCAGAGTTGTTGTTGTTATTATTGTTGTTATTGTTATTGTTGTTATTATTATTGCCACCACCTCCGCCAGAGTTGCCACCGCCTCCGCCACCACCTCCGCCGCCTCCACCACCACCTCCTCCGCCACCACCGCCTCCGGGAACTGGAATGGGAATAAAGATGGGTGGTTGTGGGAATGGTGCAGGTGCTGGAATAACAATCGGTGGACCATGACCATGACCGTGGCCATGGTCGTGATGATGATCGTGGTGATGATGATGATCCCCATGTGATGGTGGATATGGTGGAGGTATTATAATCGGTGGATGATGATGGCCATGATCATGGCTATGACCTGGAGGACCAACGGGACCTGGTAAACCTGGGGGTCCAGGATAACCCGGTCGACCAGGATGACCTTTTTCACCCTTTTCACCAGGCCTGCCTGGCTTGCCGGGCATACCGGGTGTACCAGGATAGCCGGTATCACCCTTGTCTCCCTTCCTACCGGGCACACCGGGTCGGCCGGGAATACCTGGGGGACCTGGTGGTCCTGGAGGGCCAGGCGGACAATTACAGTGGCCATGACCATGACCATGGGGTGGGAAATAAGGTGGAATGGGTTTGTAAACCACTTGTGGGGCCGGAGCCGGTGCAGGGCCCTCAATACGAATATGTCGGGGAGTGTCATAATTCTCATCATCATACTCCCTCCCTTTCTCCTGCATGGCCGAGACCAGGCTAAGGCTGAAACCTTTAAAAGAAAAAAAATCGAATTATATTCCAAAGGACCAAAATTACGTGATTCCCTCTACTTACATAGCACAATGAGGGCTATGCTCCGCTTCATGTTGCCAAACTAAGCTGTGAAACAACTAAACTACTGTCATCTCCATGACCTCGGTAGTTTATATAAGAAACTCAATGCCACACCGGATATTGGAACTTTCATTAGCTCGTCATTCAAAAATCCCCAGAAAATGTTTACACGATTTCACTTTCACTCATCGGGCCGTTAGAAATGTCAAAAGAATTGACATTTCTTTTGAGAAGACGGAACAAAATAAAGAAAGAAAAATTATATACATATCTCTATTGTCTACAAATGGCCAATTAATAAAGTTCACAGATGCGTGGATTTATTAAACAGTAGTTCTTCAACAACCAACAGAGGCGTGGATTTTTTAAAGAACATTTTTTCAACAACCAACAGAGGCCTGGATTTTTTAAAAAAATATTTTTTTCAACAAAAACAAGAGGCGTGGATTTTGTAAAAAATATTTTTTTTAACGAAAACCAGAGGCGTGGATTTTGTAAAAAATATTTTTTTTTAACGAAAACCAGAGGCGTGGATTTTGTAAAAAATATTTTTTAACGAAAACCAGAGGCGTGGATTTTGTAAAAAATATTTTTTAACGAAAACCAGAGGCGTGGATTTTGTAAAAAATATTTTTTTAACGAAAACCAGAGGCGTGGATTTTGTAAAAAAAATTTTTAACAAAAACCAGAGGCGTGGATTTTGTAAAAAATATTTTTCAACAACCAATAGAGCCATAGATTTTTTTAAAAATATTTTTCAACAACCAATAGAGCCATAGATTTTTTTGAAAATATTTTTTCAACAACCAACAGAGGCCTGGATTTTTTTAAAAAATATTTTTTCAACAACCAACAGAGGCCTGGATTTTTTTAAAAAATATTTTTTCAACAACCAACAGATTTTTTAAAAAATAATTTTCAACAACCACCAGTGGCGTGGATTTTTTAAAAAATATTTTTTCAACAACCACAGAGGCCAGGATTTTTTAAAATAATATTTTTTCAACAACCACAGAGGCCTGGATTTTTTAAAAAATATTTTTTCAAAGAAAACCTGGGGCGTGGATTTTTTAAAGAATATTTTTTTCGACAACCAACAGAGGCGTGGATTTTTTAAAGAATATTTTTTCGACAACCAACAGAGGCGTGGATTTTTTAAAAAATATTTTTTTGACAACCAATAGAGGCGTGGATTTTTTAAAGAATATTTTTTTCGACAACCCACAGAGGCGTGGATTTTTTAAAAAATATTTTTTTGACAACCAAGAGAGGCGTGGATTTTTTAAAGAATATTTTTTTCGACAACCCACAGAGGCGTGGATTTTTTAAAAAATATTTTTTTGACAACCAAGAGAGGCGTGGATTTTTTAAAGAATATTTTTTTCGACAACTCACAGAGGCGTGGATTTTTTAAAAAATATTTTTTTGACAACCAAGAGAGGCGTGGATTTTTTAAAGAATATTTTTTTCGACAACCCACAGAGGCGTGGATTTTTTAAAAAATATTTTTTTGACAACCAAGAGAGGCGTGGATTTTTTAAAGAATATTTTTTTTGACAACCCACAGAGGCGTGGATTTTTTAAAGAATATATTTTTTGACAACCCGCAGAGGCGTGGATTTTTTAAAAAAATATTTTTTTCGACAACCAAGAGAGGCGTGGATTTTTTAAATAATATTTTTTTTCAACAACCATCCAAGGCGTGGATTTTTTAAAGAATATTTTTTTTGACAACCAACAGAGGCGTGTATTTTTTTAAATACTATTTTTTCAACAACCAACAGAGGCGTGGTTTTGTTTAAATACTATTTTTTCAACAACCAACAGAGGCGTGGATTTTTTTAAATACTATTTTTTCAACAACCAACAGAGGCGTGGATTTTTTAAATACTATTTTTTCAACAACCAACAGAGGCGTGGATTTTTTAAATACTATTTTTTCAACAACCAACATAGGCGTGGATTTTTTAAATACTATTTTTTCAACAACCAACAGAGGCGTGGATTTTTTAAATACTATTTTTTCAACAACCAACAGAGGCGTGGATTTTTTAAATACTATTTTTTCAACAACCAACAGAGGCGTGGATTTTTTAAATACTATTTTTTTAACAACCAACCACGAGAGAATATTAAGATATGATTCTCTCTACTTACATAGCACAATGAGGGCTATCCTCCGCTTCATGTTGCCAAACTAAGCTGCGAAAAAATGAACTATTGTCATTTATATGCTCCGGTGGTTTATATAGGAAACTAAACACCACACCGGATATTGGAACTTTCCTTCGATGGCGATTCAAAAATCCACAAAAAAGATTACCAGATTTAACTTTTACTCATCGGCCCTTTTGAAATGTCAATAGAGTTGGCATTTTGTTCAAGGAAACAGAACAATAAAAGTACAATTATATATATTTTTTATTGTCTAAATATGGTCATATAAAAAAATTAGAGAGGCGTGGTTTTTTTGAAACAAAAAAAAAAAAATAATAAATTAATAAATAAATAAGCACCAACAGCAACAATATTTTTCCAACAACCAAAAATGTTGAATAACACTGTGCGACAAATTTATTTATTTTTTTTATAAAGGGGAAGTCCAGGAAATTATAAAAACAGAACCAGAAAAAGAAGACAAAACACATGTATGAAAGTTTACATTGAAAAGTAATCAAAATAGAGAATAAATTTCCCTCCTCTCCCACACTTTTGGAAATTGTCGGATTAAGATTACTCGGAATCTGTACATTTTAGGTATGTGGCGTCTTCTGCAATATTGCAGATAAAAATACGGAGAATATTTTAGTCGAAAATATTAATTCCCAAGCGAGCCAAAAAAGGGGTCTATTTGGCCTTTGTTTAAAATATGGTAAAGAACTTATTTTAAATGGGATCGTAACAAGTAAAAATATTCTACAAAATAATTGGCCAGATAATTCTACTATAGCCCCTAGAAGACATAAGAAGCTTAAATCTTACCTAAACGCCAGGAATTCATATAAATTATTAACGCATTTTATGGTTAAATCCATACGTTTTGTGAGTTTGTGGAAAGGTCTCTAATAAAGTATCACTTTAGAAAAATGACGTCAAAGACAAAAATATTCTTCATTAAATTTTACTATAAGCCGAAGAAAATAATCCTCTGTTTCCACTGTATACCAAAAATATATCTGCATCAATGTTCAAAAAAAGAAAAAAAAAAACGGAAAATTTTCCCTTAATTTTTTTGATCAATTTTTTCTCGATCTCTTTTCGAGTTGAGGCCTAAAAGTAACTTAAAATTTCGTTTTTAAGAGGAAGTTGTCAAAAGAAGAAATGTTCTACACAAAATTTCACTATAAATCTCGGAATAAACTATATATCTAGGTACTATAGTTTTTGTGGAAAATATATTCCAAATGTATGCAATAAAATTGGAAATTATGTCTTTGCTTTTTTACAAATCAAATCTGGGTCAAAATCTCCCTTTATACTTCATTTTATGGTGAAAGTATTAAGGGAAGAATTATTCTAGATCAAATTTCATTGTGAGTCTCTGAAGACGTCCAATGTCTAAGTCTTACCTAAACACCAGTAGTACTTATATATTTTAAGAATATTTTAGGGTTAAAGCCATACGCCTTGGGAGTTTGTGCAAAAGTCTCAAATAAAGCATAATTTTGGAAGGATGACATTAAGGCCAAAAATATTCTCCATCAAATTTTACTATAAGTCACTGAAGAAAAAAAACTCTATTTCCACTTTTTTTTTTTAAATAAATGTTCCCACAAAAAAAACTTAAAAAAATTTCCCTATTTATTTATTTATTTTTTCTTTTTTTATTGATTAATTTTTTTCTCGAACTTTTTTCCGAGTTGAGGCCTGAAAGTAACATAAAATTGCGTTGTAGGCGGATGTTGTCAAAAGAAGAAATATTCTAGACAAAATTCTACTATAAATCTCAGAACAAACCATATATCTAGGTACGATAGTTTCTATGAAAATTATGTTCGAAATGTATAGGCCAAAAGTTAAAATTATGTGTTTGCTTTCTTTACTCTTACTTTAACACGTATCCAACCCGTGTCAAAATCTCCCTTTATACTTCATTTTATGGTGGAAGTATTAAAGGAAGAATTATTCTAGATCAAATTTTATTATGAGTCTCTGAAGAAAAGAAATTTGTATACTTAATATGCAACATAAAAAAATAGAATAACGTTTTGTTAATATAATTATGTTTATTTCTAAAAAATCTACCATTTCTTCTCAATTTGCTGCAAATTTTCTAAAAATTTCACTCAACAATAGTTGGTCTGGAATGGGGTAAATGCCAAGTTAACTTGGTAGTACTCGTTTTTAGATTAGAAACCCAAAGGAGTTTTCGGTTCTTAGGCCAAATATTGTTGGGGCCCTTACATAGTATTGACTATGCACAAAAGGATCCTTATATTTTGAGAGATATATTTCGCAACATTGATGATAGAGCTTTGGAATTTGATAGAGACATTTGGATTATATACCGAACCATTGGTACCGAAAATGGATCATGTCGGTCCACTTTTTTTGGATGGTTTCCTTGCAAGGATAATTCCGATTTCAAGTCCTTGGCCACGTTTTGGCCACTTTTTCAATTTAATTTCGTACATTTTTGCAATTTCGAGTTCATATCAGTCCACATTTTAGTACATCAGTTAACTAACAATTCCGCCTGATTCTAGTTTTTGCAAGGGTCTTGGCTATATTTTCAAAAAAAAATTGACTGAAAATTGTTATTTTGGATTTTTCTTTTTCTGATAACCGTTCGCCTATATTTTATGGAAAAAAATCTTTTAAGGGATTTCCTATGGAAAGAGATTGTAAGAGAGAAAGGGAGAGAGAGAGTGAAAGAGAGATAGAGAGCGGGAGCTAGAAAGAAGATCTTCCATATGTCTTCTACAGTTAGAAGAGGTTTCTGAGATCTTGTACAGCCTCTGGTCTCCCACATGCCTATAAGAGGTCTTCTTAGACCATAAGACCATTTACTGTTCATCTTTTTTATTCGGCCTTTTACTAAGAGCACTTTTGTACAGCCTCTGGTCTCCCACATGCCTATAAGAGGTCTTCTTAGACCATAAGACCATTTACAGTTCATCTTTTCTATTCGGACTTTTACTAAGAGCACTTTTCGCAGCTCGACTAATGCTAAAAGACCTTTAACAGTTCTTCCATGATTCGAAGACCTTTTACAGCTCTTCCGTAACTGGATGAACTTTTAAAGGTCTTCTATGGCCTAGACCTAGTAGACCTATTGCATCTCTTCTAGGGCCACAAGTTTTTCTACAGCTCCACAAAACTTCCACAAGTTTTCTATAGTTAGAAGAGGTTTCTGAGATCTTGTACAGCCTCTGGTCTCCCACATGCCTACAAGAGGTCTTCTTAGACCATAGCACCATTTACTGTTCATATATTATTTTCGGCCTTTTACTTAAAGCAATTTTTGCAGCTCGACTAATGCTAGAAAACTTTTAACAGTTCTTTCATGGTTCGAAGACCTTTTAAAGCTCCTCCATAACTGGGGGAACTTTGCAGGTCTTCTATGGCCTAGACCTAGTAGACCTTTTACATCTCTTCTGGGGCCCACAAGTCTTTTACAGTTCCACAAGGTTTCCCTAGAAAAAAAAAAGGTTTCTGAGATTTGTACAGCCTCTGGTCTTATATATGCCTATAGGAGGTCTTCTCAGACTATAAGACCAGTTACTGTTCATCTTTTCTATTCGTCGTTTTACTAAGAGCACTTTTTGCAGCTCAACAAATGCTAGAAAACTTTTAACAGATCTTCCATGGTTCGAAGACCTCTTAAAGCTCTTCCATAACTGAGTGAATTTTGCAGATCTTCTATGGCCAGTTGACCTATTACATTCCTTCCATGGCTAGACGACCTTTTCAAGCTCTCCTATAGACAAAAGACATTTTCTATGCGGGAGTACGTTTTACTGAAAGGCCCTTTTCAGCTTTTCTTTCGCTAGAAGACCTTTTACAGGGATCTTTCAAATCACATCTACGACCAGACCAGTCCTTTTAAAAATCTTCTATGACTAGAAGATCTTTTTCGGCTCTCCTATAGACAAAAGACATTTTCTATGGCTGGAGTACGTTTTACTGGTCTCCTAAGGCTAAAAGGCCCTTTTCATCTCTTCTTTGCCTAGGAGGTCTTTTACAGGTCTCCTTCGACCAGTAGACCTTTCACATTTCATTTTGGGTCAGAAGTCTTTTTACATCTCTTCAAGGGCCAGTAGACATTTTACCGCTCTTTATTAGCTACAAGACCCTTTCGAGCACTCCTTTGGCCAATATACATTTTCTATGGATGGAGCGCGTTTTACAGGTCTCCCAAGGCTAGGAGACCTTTCTAAAGCTCTTCTATTCCTGGGAGACCTCTCACATTTCATGTGGGACCAGAAGTCCTTTTACAACTCTTCTATGGCTTGACGAACTTTTTCAGCTCTTCTATGGCCAAAATAAATTTTCTATGGATGGAGCACTTTTTACAGGTCTCCCAAGGCTAGGAGATCTTTGAAAGCTCTTCTGTTCCTGGGAGACCTCTCACATTTCATGTGAGGCCAGAAGTCCTTTTAAAACTCTTCTATGGCTTGACGAACTTTTTCAGCTCTCCTATGGCCAAAATACATTTTCTGTGAATGGATCACGTTTTACAGGTCTCCAAAGTTAGAAGAGCTTTTACAGGTCTTTTTAACTCTTCTATGGCTAGAATACCTTTCTCGGTTATCCTATGGCCAAAATGCGTTTTCTATGGATGGAACACGTCTTACAAGACCTAGAAGACCTTTTGCAGCTCTTCTATTCCCAGGAGACCTTACACACTTTAGCTAGAGCCAGAAGTCCTTTTACAACTATTTCATGGCCAAAATACATTTTCTATAGCTGGAGCACATTTTACAGGTCTCTTAAGACAAGAAGGGCCTTTTCGGCTATATTTTGGCTAGAAGACCTTTTACAGTTTCTCTATTCCCAGGAGAACCTCCCAGGTTTTTTTAGCATACTTTAGACCCCACCTATGCCCTCCATGGGGAGAATACCTTCCCAATAAATAAAAAAAATACTATTTTTCCTAAATTTTGTCCAGAATTTATTTCATGTCCAATTCATCATTGCCTTAGTCAGCATCAACTGGCTTGAAAGGCCACAAAGTATTTTGTGCCTTGTGGAACGTAAGCCGATCTGGGGGTACCTTCAATTTGATCATTGGTATCTGAGGTGCCTTCAATGTTATCGTCCCCATCATAGCCCTCATCGTCCTCCTCCAAATTGTTACCCACTTCGGTATTGCCATTACTTTGTTGTGGCCCATAATTGTCGTTGTAATTGATGTTAATGTTGGTGTTGCTGTTGGAGTTGTTGGGATCCTCTTCCTCTTCCCCATCATCATCCTCGCCCTCATATTCATATTGTTGACTCTGGGAAATGTCTTGCAATTGTTCGACCAAATCGTTTTGTACCAAAAATAGCACCTCCTTGTTTGAGGAGCCGGCAGGCTTGTCCGAATCCTGTGGGGCGATGTTGTCTGGATAATACAATGCGGGATCATATTCGCCTTCGTTTTCATAGTCGGTCAGGGGTTGAAGTACGGCTATGGGGCGAGAGCTGGAATCCGATCTACCGGGTGCACCGGGCTCGCCAGGCATTCCAGGTTCACCACCAGCACCAGGACTGCTATTGCCAGGTCTTCCAGGCCTGCCGTTGCTGCTGTTGATGCGTACCACTTTGGTGCTATTGGTTCTGGCAGGTTGGACGCGAGTCGTACCCCTTGTGCCGTCGTAGTAGTGATGATCGCCGTGATAGGTGTGGAAATGACTTGCAGCCAAAAGGCGAGTGTTGTCATTGTTTTGATTGACGCCGGGACGCCAACCTCCGCCACCACCACCGCCGCCGCCACCTCCTCCTCCACCACCGCCTCTTCCACCGCCACCTCCTCCGCCCCAGTTGTTGTTATTATTATTGTTGTTATTGTTATTGTTGTTATTATTACTGGTACCGCCACCGCCAGTGTTGCCACCGCCTCCACCACCACCGCCGCCGCCTCCACCGCCTCCTCCACCACCACCACCGCCTCCGGGAACTGGAATGGGAATGAAGATGGGTGGTTGTGGGTATGGTGCAGGTGCTGGAATAACAATTGGTGGACCATGTCCATGTCCATGGCCATGATTGTGATGATGATCGTGGTGATGATGATGATCCTTGTGGGGTGGTGGATATGGTGGAGGTATTATAATGGGTGGATGATGATGATGACCATGACCATGGCTGTGACCTGGAGGACCAACGGGACCTGGTAAACCTGGGGGTCCAGGATAACCCGGTCGTCCATGATGACCTTTTTCACCCTTTTCACCAGGCCTTCCCGGCTTACCGGGCATACCGGGGGTACCAGGATAGCCGGTGTCACCCTTGTCTCCCTTTCTACCGGGCACACCGGGTCGGCCGGGAATACCTGGAGGACCTGGTGGTCCTGGAGGTCCAGGCGGACAATTACAATGGCCATGACCATGACCGTGGGGTGGGAAATAAGGTGGAATGGGTTTGTAAACCACTTGTGGGGCCGGAGCTGGACTGTCAAGATTTATAAGTCGGGGAGTGTCATCATACTCCCCATCACTCTCCTGCATGGCCGAGGCCAGGCCAAGGCTGAAACCTTTGAAAGAGAAAAAAAATAAATCAAATTATATTCCCAAGGACCAAAAACAAAGGGTGATTGCCTCTACTTACATAGCACAAAGAGGGCTATGCTCCGCTTCATGTTGCAAAACTAAGCTGTGAAACAACTGAACTACTGCCATCTCCATGGGCACGATAGTTTATATAGGAAACTCAATGCCACACCGGATATTGGAACTTTCTTTCGATGGCCATTCAAAAAAATCCGCAAAAAGCTTTACAAGATTTTACTTTTACTCATCGGGCCGTTAGAATTGTCCAAAAGAATTGGCATTTCTTTCGAGAAGTGGCGACAAAACAAAGAAGGAAAAATTATAAAAAAAATTGTATTGTCCACAAATGGCCAATAAACAAAATTCACTTTTATCGGAGATTATGTTCGCTGAATGGCATATTGTTATTGATCCGGCATTTGTATGACAATGGTAATAACTGTCATTTGCAAAGATCAACATCGAACGAAAACAGAGTTCATCTCTCTCTCTAGCTTTGAGCTGTGATGATAGATCATTGTTTGACGTTAAGCCTCCCCACTCTCTGTCGATTAGCATAAATCTCTGAATTATTGACAAATTCTATTGTCTCGGCATTGTGAGAACGTTTAATAGACCGCTGGGTTGCATAGAAAATATTTCGAATTTGAAAATGTTTTTGATTCTGATAGTTTTGTTATTGCGCACTACGAGTTAGTAACAAGAAATCTGCATATTTCGAGTTCTTCTGTACTCAGAGAACAAAGAAAGAAAGAAAGAAATTTGGAATTGAGCCTATGATGGCGTTCATGGCATTGCCAAAACTAAGAAATGTTTTAAAATATTCCATAAAATATCTACAAATTTTGTCCTCGAAATATACTTTGATTTTTTCCCTTTAAAGGTGTCAGCCTTAGCCTGGAATCGGTCATATAGGAGAGTGATGGGGGATTTGTCTTCGAAATATATATCTTTAAAAATATTCTAAAAATTTCCCGAATGTTGTAAAATCCCAAGTCCTTGGCGGTTTTGATCATTTGAAAACTAATCTGAAAATGTCTGCATTTGGGGCTCTAGGTGGTTTTAAAAAAATCTTAAAATACTCAAAATGTTTCTCCGATGGGTGTTGGAAAAAATATTTAAAAATTCAATTGGTTGGTATCGAACAGACCACAATTACTGCTCCGGGTGGACGTTGAGAGACGATTTTTGAAAAGTCTCCGTTTGAGTCTTCTCTTGGGATTTGAAAATATTTTCATGGAAAAATCTAGAATTATGGCTTAGATGTCCCATAAAAATATATCTAAAAACAAGTGAAAAAGCTGTAAATTCGGCCCAGCCGAAGCTGAATATCCTCCACCATTTAAAAAGCATTTGGAAATTTTCAAAAAAAAAAAAAAAAAATTAAAAAATAAATAAATAAAAAAAAAAATAAAAAAAAGTCTGCTAAAATCTTAAAAATACCGAATGTAGCCGCTATATTAGGGTCAATACAACGACGTGGACCTGCATAGGCAACTTTTGTCATAAACCATTTCAATATTCAAATGCGAAACTTAAATAAAAAAATTCGGTGAATAACGACCCTAAAATCATAAAAATGTCGAATATCGGGAGGTTCCCTTATGTGGGGTCAATACGAAGACCTGGACCTGCACATACAATTTTCTGCCATAGGCTGTAGTATCCATTACGAACTTCAAATACCAAATTTCAAACAATTTCGGTGAATTAAAAAAAAAATTAAAAAATAAATAAATAAAAAAAAATAAAAAAAAGTCTGCTAAAATCTTAAAAATACCGAATGTAGCCGCTATATTAGGGTCAATACGACGACGTGGACCTGCATAGGCAACTTTTGTCATAAACCATTTCAATTTTCAAATGCGAAACTTGAATAAAAAAATTCGGTGAATAACGACCCTAAAATCATAAAAATGCCGAATATCAGGAGGTTCCGTTATGTGGGGTCAATACGAAGACCTGGACCTGCACGGACAATTTTCTGTCATAGGCTGTAGTATTCATTACGAACTTCAAATACCAAATTTGAAACAATTTCGGTGAATAACGTCCCTAAAATTATAAAAATACCGAATATCGGGGGGTGCCGTAATATGGGGCCTATGGGAAGGCGTGGACCTACATGGCCCATTTTCAATACCAAAACATCTGCAGACATAATACACATTTGAGTTATATTTTATCAACCTACTTCATTTCGTTCGGAAGTTAGAGTGATTTCCACAGACGGACAGACGGATGGACATTGATAAATCGACGGCTGATATTTCGAGGTGTTACAAACGGAATGACAAACTTAATATACCCCCCATACTATGTTGGAGGGTATAAAAAAGTAAAATTAAATTAGTCGGCACCTCAGCCAATATTGTGTGATTTTAATGAAAGTATTGTGATGTGTGTAATTTGAAGATAATCGGACTCTTAAATCACATATTATAAGAGTACCTGATGGAGTGAACCGACATTGATGCAAATATTAGGAGTCGAAAATCGGATTATCCTTTTCCTTTCTGCGCAATAAAATATATATATATATATATATTTTTTTTTTTTTTTTGGAATTTTCGACCTTTTGTGGGGTTGGTACCAGAAGGAGAGGACCGATATTGCCCATCTTCAGGCTCGATCTAAGTTTGATAATAATAATGCAATGTACTAAGTTTGGACTAAATCGAAAACTTCCTTTGAGAGTGATCGTCCGCACCAGCCAGATGGACGGACGGATTGAGACCTCTAGATCGACTCCAAATATCCTGAAACAGATTTGCTCCAAAGAGACCCATGGTCTAAAACCTTAGTTTCGATGAAGCACATCCTGGACGTATCAAATGATATATACCATGTGTAGAGATGTGGCGGAGGGTATAGGAAGATATATATGGATAGGAAAGTATATATGGATCTTCCTATCTCGCCGAGCTGAAACGATCTAGCTATGTATATCCGTCCGTCCGTCTGTCCATGTTAATTTGTAATCACTCTACAGGTCGCAATTATGGGCCGATACTCACGAAATTGAAAATGGGGATGAGGCTAGATCCAGAATAGAAGCCTATTGCTTTCGGAGATGATCGCAAAATATTTAGGGGTTGAAATGGACCAAAATCTGAAAAATGTCCTGATTTTTCAGCAGTTATGAAGGTCACAAATAGAAACCAAAGGACAGGAAATCTCACATGCAGTTAGAGTTTAGGACAGCGGGTAGAATGGACCACTACTTTTGTGTGAAAAAATACCAACATTATTTACAGGCGATATCCGAAATACACAAATGGCGAACTTCTGCCTTTTTTATGCAAATTTCATTGACGAATATAGCCAAATATCGTAGACAAGCAAATCATATATATGAGTCTAAACTTGGAGATACAGAGGAGGCTCTTCCTTTTGGAGATGATCGCAAAATATTTAAAGGTTCAAATGAACCAGAAACAGAAAAAAAAATCAGTTCGTGTCAGTCCTTATTAGAACTGAAAATGGCCAATTTAATCAGATTGACAACCTGTTTTTAATCTAAACTTCATACATGGCACTAAATTTTCAGAATTTATATACTATACAAGTTTTTTCCTTTTTTCGAAAAGAATAATTGGAAAATGCTTGACTTTTACACTAAAAAGTCTTCAAAATCTTAAATTCTGGAGTTTACAGAGGAGG